TACTTATAACAATTAACCATGACATTACTCTTGAGGACCAGTGAACTATGACATTTTCACTTCTGAAAAATAAACTGATCTTATTTATCAGTTACAATATCAATTAACCTCAGTGATTTGTTGAAGAAAAAGAAAAAAGAAAATGTCTAGTTTGTAGCTTTCCAAATCTTTTGCACTGGCAACACTTTTTAAAATAACATTTTTGATATATTATTTTAGTTTGGTTATTCTTCTATGTGCTGTGTCCCTTCAGGACATTGATGATCATGTCTTTCCACAATTTCCTGTCCTTTGCAACTCTTTTGTCTTTTTACTATCTCTCCTAAACCTTGTTCTGCCAGCCATTTATTCAAACTTGTTAGGTAAGTGATTTAATGGAATAACCTGTCACTCCCATGAGTAACTACACTATAGGTAGTAACCACCTATAAGTATCAGTAAGTCAACAGACTACGTAGTCTAGCTGGGATCTGTTGAGTACGACTCAAACTTACACAAGAACTACCGACCTTCCAATAGCAGCACTCACTACTGGATTGACTTGTGATAATTGTGCACATAACTGTTACCTTATTTCTTATTGTACTAATTTTTACAATAAACCTTTACTTATTTTATCCACTGTGTTGTTCAAGTATATATACCTATTAGCATGGAATATAACAGTAGGTTAAGTGTTCTTTTCCTCTATCCCTTTTGCCTGTGAGTATCAATTTTCCAAACCCACTTTCCTTGTTATGCGTCCTAGAAATTTCAAATGTTTCTTCCTGATATTAATCCTTAATATGTATCCTTTTTGTTTCCATTTTCCCTAAAGTTTTGTAATTTCTCATATGTTCAATTCATGGTTTTCTCAACATCCATATGTAGGGCCATATTTTTGTTGCTTTAGGTTTTTTCTTCATCTGTGAGGAAATGGTTCAGCATTCACTGCCATATAGATGTTCTGTTTCTTAATACTTTGCTTATATTTTGAAAGGCATCTTTCACTATCCTAATGCAACTTCAGATTACAATGTTGTACTTAGTTTGGTTAGCCAAATTAAATATATAATTCATAATGTATATGAAAAGAAATAATTTAATGAAAAATTTAGTTAATAGTTAAAAAAAAAAGAAGATGTAATTATACTAAAGTATCTTGACACTGAAAATAAAAGCTCTGCTGGAGTTCCAAAGCTGTACCTCCCCATTGCACATGAAGGGGTAGGGTCAGGAATTGACACTGACACTAAAGTATCAAGAAAACTGGACAATTTTATGAAAAATGCTTGAAAAATCCCAAAATAAATTGATCTTGTCATATTTTATTCAATAGGAATGTAGAATTTATTTCTATGAAAAACAACAGATATAGAGAACGCAATAACAATGTTTAATAGAGTAAGTTTTCAGCTACAAGATGCTATTCTTCCAGAGTAATCATCATTGACTATGCATTTTTAATAGTGAGGAACATTACATGAATTGACAGCTGTGCAGAGTTACTCAGAATGTGGCTTGTAATATGTTGCCAATGCTAAAATACATTACATACCACTTAACTGTGATTATATCCACTATTTGATCTCTGTAAATGTTCAGCAAGCATTGAAGAATGTCAATAGGTATAATTTTTTTTCTGTGTGGAAGAATTCAAGGATACATGTCTGCTTTGTGTGAACTTTAGCATGTTAGATAGCATTTTTGCCAGACTGCTATAAGGCAAGGTAATTTGTAAGGTGCAACCATTACTGTCATATCATCTACATCTGATATCATGGGCCAACATAAATACAAGTCATTACTTTAGAAGCAACCCTTGTAAATGTAGAGATAATTTCAACTCTTCTACAGTTTTAAGTAATACACAGAAAGCAAAATGTTAGGTGTGTTTTATTTTTGGGTTGCCAAATGTTAAATAGGGAATCAAGATTGTCTGTAAATTTCCTCCAAATAGGAATGTATATTGTCTCAATAATATTGGCACTGATGCCAAACACATCATATTTTCAAACTGAACAAAACTAACATTTACTGACAAGTGAATAATGTGCATTATTAATTTTGACAGTTGAATTAAGTAATCATGACAGCTGATCTCTGAAATTATCAATTATAGTAATCTCGTCATTGATAACTTATTCATAATTGCCAAATAACTCTCTCATAAGAATAGAACTTATTTTTACACATTTATGACATAAGAATGTATCAATAAGTCTGTGGCATGTCATGTTGTCATTAACTGAATTCTGATTTGAAATTGTTTATACAAAAATGTTTGTTTTACATTATTAAATTTCACCAATGAATTAACAAAAAAGGATTATGTTGAAAAATAAATATTTCTTGCGTAAATCATTAAGTTAAATATATATATATATATATATATATATATATATAGGGGCACGGCAGAGTAATGGATTGCAGCTCGGATTCAGGAATCCGAGAACCGAGTTTGAATTACAGTTGAGTTCATCACATTCACTTCTTGTATGAAGGCATCTCTTCCCACATCTATGGGTAAATAGCAGGATAGACTGGGTTCCTTAGCCTTGGGCGGCAATTGGTCTAAGAGAAGGACAAAACCTGTAGAGGGTCATTTGGTGACCTTGTGGCATATTGTGCACCAGTTCTCTGTATTCGGCTCTTACAAAAAGTGTGGTTGGTTCTGCACAAGTCTTCACCACTATAATCAATGTGGGTAATCTGGCTGTTGGTTCTAAGAACTGAGCTGCTTGACACCCTCATATGTCGAAAATCGCAGGAGAGTCCAGTAGTATTATATATATATATATATATATATATATATATATATATATATTAGTTGTATTAAAAGTTTTACTGCTATATTGTTGCTTTTAGTTGGTTCAAGAATAAAAACATTTACCTGGGAAGTGGTCCCATTTGTGGAGAGGTTTTACTTCATTGCAAAAGATACACTCAGTGTATTCTAGGAGCTCATGACAGGACAGAAATGTAAACTGAACAGGATTTTCTTTTTGTAACCTGATAATGTGATCACTTAAGAGATATTCTTTGACCTTAGAAGATTGTAAATAATCCTTATTACATGCTCTTTTCTATTTGAACTTATTTGTTAATCTTGGTTGTTACACTTAGGGCATTTTCACTGTTGTTCCCTTTAGTCTTTTTTAGATGTCTGTCATCTCCTGTTAACCTTCTTGGAATAGCCATTTATTCAGTCCATGAGAGTAGATTTTCATTTCATTTTCCATGCTTAGGAAATGATTTCTAGTTTATTTGCTTTTGTATTGCTTATTTGTTTCTTCCATGGAACCAGAGACTTTTCTGCTCTACCTGATATAGGGATTGAACTCAGACCCACCAGGAAACAAGCTTTTGTAGTGAGTTCCGATAAAATACAATAAAAAGAATGCTGAAAAATAAAATAATTTGGCCAATCAAAAAATTGACACAAAGAGACTTTGATGGTCCTGCCACAAACTCTGAGCCTATTCAAAAGGTTATAAAACTTGACACCTTAGAGCTACAATCACAGAGAAGACCAGAATGAGCCCAGGAAAGGATAGAACAAAACAACACATTCATCTGTTATTTACATTTCTGCCCTGTTCAGGGCTGAGAGAAAACACAGTGGATTGGCATCTGACATAATTTCTAACATTACTACTACTCCTATTGTGGTCTGACTTCCAAGTACCAAAATGGACATTTTTCCAGACTGCTAACAATATCTACCTTATTAATGAACTTTTTGCTATGCTAAATACCAAAAGGCTCACTTTTCACTCTAAAGAAAATAAATAAAAATATATTGAGTTACTTTGTATATTTTAAGTTTTTGATAAAATAATTATCTTACTACCTATCCAATCAGGCAAGGTTCTGAAATGAACACATATGCCACACTTCACAAGATTATGTGTCTTTTAGACAATTCAATGATATAATTTTGAAGTTTTAAAACCTAAAACTCAGATGATGGAATTTTTGAAGTATCATTTCTTTCTTAATCAGGCTTCAAGACAGTTTTCATTTCTATGCTAAGTCTACTGAGAAGGTTGACAGAGCCTAATGTATGTTGATTCATTCAGTCATCTGGTGCATTGTTTGTTGTCTATTATCTTGATTTCATTTCACAGGGATTATTGACCACCCTTTTCCATCCATACATAATCAGCCATGGCAGATTTCAAGATTTCTTCTCAGACTGCATGAACATGAAAAAGTTATTGAAATTTTAAAATTAACTATATTTAATATTCATTACTTGTGAACGTGATTAAAATGTGGGAATGGCACTCCAATGTACATAGATGCACATGACAGGTGCACCAATATATGCAGATACACAGCAAGTTTATCAAGATGTACAGAACATATACAGAGATGTAAAAAGTGTACTGAACAGGTGACTCAGCATAAATAGGTGTACCTAGCAGGTGTTCCAACATACACTGGCATACCCAGTAGTATCCTAGTATACACAGATGTACCTAACAGGTGTCCCAACTTAGGCAGAAATATGCAACAGATGCCAGATACACAGTACAGATGCCCCAATATACACAGACATACTGAACAGGTACCCCAACATATGCAGATGCATTGAACAGGTGCCCAAACATATGCAGACATATTGAACAAGCACATTAATGTCTGGAGTGTACTGAACATGTAACCTAACATATGCAGGTGTGTCCCAGCATACACAGGTGTATCCAGCAGGTGCCCTAGCATACACAGGTGTATCTAACAGGTGATACAATTTCTAGCAGACACACCCTGATGTACACAACATATACAGACACACATAACAGATGTCAAATGAAAAAAAATTATCAAGAAACACAAAAAAACTTGCTGAAAATTTTAAATTGTAAAAGATAAAAGTAACTTTGAAAATAAAAGTGTAACCTGATTGATGTCCTATTAACAAAATTAGTCCTAGTTCGTTAAATCAAGTACATCTTTCAAAATTTCTGCTCTGGATTATTCAAGTTTTGGACATGAAAGAAAAGACAGTAACTTACTGAATCATTCTGTGATCGAATTGTAAGGTATCCTGGGTGATGCTCCACATCTAGAGACAAAGGTGCTGGCGGGTGAACACACACGTTGTTTTTGCTGTAAATTATTTCACCATCGAGAGGTGGTGGCTTCAGTGAGTCAGTGTTGCTGAAGCCAAGGAAACTTGATGCCTTTCGAAACATGTTTCCCAGACCAGCCATACTAGGAGTAAGGCTACCAATTTTTAGTTTGTCTCCTAATCCCAGTGGTGACTCAGGCTTGACCGGATCAGGTCGTGTTGATGTTGGACGTTCATAGTTTTCCTGGGTGGCTGCAAAAAGAAGAAAAATATATTTTGATTTTCAGCATTGATATGACAATATAATGTCACAAATGTGACTAATTCCTGTCTTTTCATATCTGATTTGCATAAGTAAATCACTGAAGTTAGTTTTATGGCAGAAAATCAAAATTTGTATATTTATTTTTAACTAAGAGTTGTTTGTATAACATGAATTAGATCAACTGCAACAAATTTTGCATATTATCTTTCATTCTTATTTCACAAGATCAGGAAAACCAAACTAACTAAAAAGTATGATATGACAACCGATCCACTTTTTATTGCAGAAAACATAACATTTCAATACTAGTTTCGGCATGAATTTTAAATATTTTTTTTCTGATTATTATTCTTGCCACCTGGAGTTGATATTGCAGTGTAGATAACTCTTGTGCAGCAAAAAAGTCAAATTAATTAATTCACTCCAAGCAAGGCAATGATGCCACTCAGAGAATGAGGAAACCTCCACCCCTGTTCATAAAACTGGGGAGGAGTGTAAACCAGACAGAAGGTAATATTACAGAAAAAAACAATTGGCATATTATAGATTAGCAGAATACAGAGTTTTTAAAGATAATTTTCAATTCTATTATCAGTACTAATATTTTTGTTAATTTCTAAAATCAAGAAGAAATCAACTTGAAATTTTTATTGTGCTTTTTTAGTTTTTATCCAAAACATTAAAAATTGAGGTTAAACTTGCATTCAGAGAACAATATTTGCTCAGCAAAATCAAAAATTTTAAATATATACAATAAAAATTTAAAAATGCAGTCAAATAAGCATAAAATATGACAAGTTAGAAGAGAAGACATCTAACCAATATGTTCAAATGATCTAGATGACCAACTGGTTGAAAGAAATGACTAGTTCATATTTGAATAATTTCAAGAGGAAAGTTCTCATGAAAGGAATTAAAAACCTCAAAATTAAAAAAAATGATGCATTATCACAAGAGAATGTGAAGAAATGCCTGATTTAAAGCCAATCCTCCCCCTCCCACCAAAAATAATTCAAGAAATTCAAGAAAAAATATAAAACAAAAAATTGAGTTTTTTGATTTAAAAAGAAAATGAATAAAAAAGAGGGCATGGTAGCTATCCACTGTTTAAACAATGCACTATAAAGTTTAAACAATGCTGTTTAAACAATGTATTATTAAGTTTACAGTTCAAATACTAACATCTTATCAATGATCTGTTTATTCATATTCTTGCTTGTACCAAATACAAGTACTGTCTGGAATAGTCATGTTAGTGGGAGATTTTTCAACTTATTTTATAATTTGTCTGGTTCAAATAAACATTCCACTAGGAATTTTTATATAAACCAGAACAAAATAAATGTTCAATGGAAAAATTATTTGAAAAATAACAAACATTGCGAGGTATGACATAGCTCTCAGTAGGAAGACCTGAGGGCCATCACAGAAGATATGAACTTGGTGTGCATCTTTGCAGATATCAATAAGAAGTGAGTGTAGGAGGAGGAGGGTATTGAAGGAAATAATGTTACCATGCCAGCACTTGTATTTGATACGCAACAGTATCTAGATCCATACACACATACCTTTAGTTAATGCAATGCTTCTTACTGCAAAACATAGACTCTATAGATACAACCTACCTTGCTATCCATAGATTCATTACTGATTGATGCATACTTTGTGCATGTGTACACACACACACACACACTTGTCAGACAAGAAGATTGGAAAAATTTAGAAATAAAACTCTGATAAATTTGAATGTAAGTAAGAGTACAAGGGAGTTTTACAACCAAGAGGTGCAACTTTCACCCACAATCCTTTTTGCTAGATGGACCTTTACTCCTAAAAATTACTCCCTGAAGGTTGTTTTCAATTAACATGTCTCTTTTTGAGTTTATATCTTGCAACAAGAGGGACTGTAAGTACCTCCACACTTTCACTGTCAATTCCACCACCACCCACCACTGCAACTCTATGTTTATTGAAAATAATTGGTTTGTACAGATGTGAATTTGTTTAAGTCCTATTTCCTAACCACACAATGAGTGAGTGAGTGAGTGAGTGAGTGAGTGAGTGAGAGAGAGAGAGAGAGAGAAAACATTGTATGCACAATAAATTTGCCTTCCTAATTTTCAAACTTTTCTTTGAAAGGCATGAAACTTGAGCAACAGTTAATGCAATAAAAGAGTTTCCTATTTACGGACCAAATCTTTATTGCAATTAATGACTTGCTTTTTATAGGATCAGGCACAATTTTGTTTAATTTGTAAAGAAAGAGTTGAAGCAATAATTAATGAAATAAAGTATAAAAATAATACAGATTATAGAGAAGATGTTATGAATGAGGACAACTATATTCAAAGAAATATATTTAAACACTTAAAAAGAACATATTTAATAGTAAAAATTACAGAAATAGATTTTATGTTTATGTAAACATTCTGCACATAGAGATCACTTTAGCTGGAATTCTTGGTTGTCATTTCTATCATTTATGTTGTACATGTGTGTGTTTGTGTGTGTGTGCATATATGTAGTGTCAACTGCATTCAACTGTCATAAAATGTAAATTTCTCTTTGCTTAGATTTAATTCCTATCTATTGTATACTTCAAGCAAGAATCATTTAATGTGAGAAAGCTACCATTCTCAACATGTTTTCCTTCTAGCTAAATCGAATCAATATTTACAGAATTACTCTTGTTTATTTTCTTGGAGAATTTATACATATATACAAATGCTGTTTCATTATTGCTCAAATAATCACTAGTAGAGTACCCATCAAAAATTACAGATTATTTATGCCAAGATGGGCATTTCTACTTAAGAGCAGAATATGTGTAATTTGCCCAGCATAAGTGTTACCTCTTGGCATTTCCATCTAAGATCAGTGTAGTATATTTTTTAAAATTTGTATATGATTGACTTAGAAAAAAGTTTTTTATTAAAACTGCTTTCAGTCTCAAGGACAGGCTTGATGCATTACCAGAAGAATCTGCATATCGAGATCAGGTTGTTCTTGTTGGCTTTCATAACCCTGATAATGGCCTTGGTATTGCAAGGCTGCTGGTTGGTCTTTCTTGTGATGACACTGCAAACTTTGTAGACCAGGGAATTTAAATCAAAATAGTTATGAGGTCACATGTAGAGGAATGGGAGGGGGCTGACATGATCATGAAAATTCTCAGGCAATCACTCCTGGGTCACTTGAGCCATGTGGAGAGAGTGGAGTTCTGCTGGAATGTATATGGCCACACCCTTGATAAAGGGCTTGATAATCATGTTCAGAAGCTTATGGTGCCTACATTGATCTTGAGACCCTGTAGGAAAATGTAAGGAGGTATGACATGGCCTACAGTTCTTCTGAGTCCCAATCCCATCACAGAAGATGTGAACCTTGTGTGTATCATTGTGAATATTTTGTGAGATCAATGCAGAGTTATCTGTCATTGCTTTTATTCACCTGACCAATAAGTTGGATATTTCTGAGATACTGGGGTTTATGCGTTTTTCATTTCCTGTGACAGATGACATCTGTTCAATGATGCATTGCAGTGAAAATGTTCAAATTTTGCATATACTGCATAATATCACTTATGGCTTGATAAAGATATGTTCTCAGTTACTTGGAGCAACAGTCTGCATGTGTGTGTGGCCATCAATTTTCAATCTGTTCAACAGGAGAACAGAAATGAGAAAAGTAAGAGAGAAAGAATATCTGGAGGGGTTTAAAAAATAAACTGCAAAAAAAAAAAAAAAAAAAAAGAAGCCTTTTTCTCTTCTGTTATCAACTATGTTAAAAATGAACTTAACAGAATATCAGTGCAGAAACCTTAAAAAGCAATCCTAAAAATAATTCTAACCCAGACAACATTTAGTAAAATGTAGATCTAAAATCATTAACTGTAGTGATACTAAATTTTAGAATCAAATGAATTTAATTGGTTGCATTGGTTATCTGAACAATTATTGGAATCCAATAATAGAAATGGTATCTTTTGCAAGCGGAGCCTAAGGCATTTTGTATCATTGCAACTTATGGCATATACAATTCAGTTTTATTAATCAGTGTATTGTTAAATTCTTGTCTGGCATCAATAATCTAACACAGGGAAGGGCTGAAAGGGTTTTTTTTTTAAATCCCAAAACTTCACTGGATATAAGTGAAAAGTAAATATTTTAAAAAATTAATGTATTCTTTTTTTAATTTAAGATTTACAGTTTTATTATGATGAGGTCATTGTTGTTACTTAACTGATTGATAAAAAGAAAACTCCAATTTTGCCATTGTAAGACTTGTCACGTTTTGATATTTTTATAACCTTTGAACTAATAAAATGCATTAATACATAAATTTCACTTTTAATATTGATTATTAATAAAATACAAATACAGTATAGGTGTAAAATGAGTATGAAAGAACAGTTGTAGTCTTCAACAAAAATACAGTTTTTCTATCACCTGCTTTCATATGATTAAAAAAAATTCAGTTTGGACAATATTTTTCATACATATTCTTGTTTCATTTTATGTAGAGAAACAATTCTTCCTACCTTATATGCTTTATGATTCACACCAGCAAAGCTCATCTAGATTGATATATAGTGGCAGGGGCATAGGGGTTAAAATGAACAGTTGGTTTAACCATGCCAAGAAGGTTAATGGAGGCTGAGGAAATGCACAAGTAATTTTAACAAAACAAGATAAGGAATTTATTCACAAATTTACACGCTTGAAATTGAGTCAGTAGCTCATTTCAGGAAAATAAATCAGAAGTCTTAAAGTTCATAATTTTAACCAATTTCTTATGAAGAGGAAATATTCATGCAACAGATTAAATAATCTGACACAAAATAATATTCAAAAATGTTTAAAACAAAGGTAAGAGAGTTTGTTGTCCCCAGAAGGGATATACAGTTGCATACATTCAAAAGTAGATGAAAAGAACTTTCTTGAATTGTTGGAATAATGTTCTTTGAAGTGCCAAGTGCTTTGGTAAG